GGGGGCGGTTGCAGCTGGCTCTGCCTCTAGATAGGCAGAGCCAGCTGTCACTCACGCAGCTGGGCGGATCTCGAGATCGATGTCGGGATCTATTTAACCTTTACATTAGGGATCTATTAAACCTTTAGGGTCACCTTTCCACTTCAAAAGAGCTATTCAAGCACATATAGCTTGAACAGCTACAGTTAGACCTGGTTCACACCTGGGCGTTTTACAGCGCTGATCAAAGCGCTGTAAAACGCCCAGCAAGTGAAATCCCATTATTTCCTATGGGCATGTTTCCCACCTAGGCGTATTTCAGCGCGTCGGAACGTGCTGAAAAACGCCCTACGCCTAAAGAAGTACAGGAGCTTCTTTGGGGCGTATTTCCGCGCGTATCCATTAGGATACAGCCAGATAGCCCTCGTAAACGCGCGTTTGTCGCACGTTTCGTTGACCGCAAATCACGTCAAACACGCATATTACGAACGCCCAAGTGTGAACCCAGCCTTAGGGTTCACACTGAGCCGATAATCAGATTGTGACCCTGCAGCTGTCACACGCTGGATCTATACCGATAGCTGAGCGATCATATAACTGCCAATCACTCAGCTCATATTCTCCTCCCTGCAGAGATCAGTGGCCATTATGGCTGCAGTTATTCACCCCATGTGTGCAGGGCCGGATTCCCCACAAGGCCACCGAGGCCGGGCGGCAGGGAGCAGAGGGGCGGCAGCGGGGTGGAGTCCCCCAATGTCCGGAACATGCAGTTCCGGGCGGTAAGTTGCTTTCTACATTAAGTCCTGCTTTGGGAAGGCAGGACTAAATGTAGCGTGAAGAAGCCGCTTGTGCGTTTACAAGTGATTGCGGCGATGTTGCCGCGATCACTTGTAATATGTTTGCAGCCTGTCTGTCCTACCCGCACCTACCTCTCTCCTCTGGCTCTCTCCTTCCCCCGGCCGCCGAGTCTCTCTCCTCACTGGCAACCGATGCGGGGATCAGAGCGACAGGGTTAAAAGTAACCCTGCCACTCCATGTAAACAGTGAGAGGGGAGAGCAGTCTTCCTCTCTCAGCCGTCACAGGAGTTCCAGCACAGTGCTGTGCTAGAACTCCTGTATTGGAGATCACAGGGTCAATAAAGAGAACCTGTCACTTCCAAATGCTATCACACAGGGGATTGTTAGCTCCTGTGTGATAGCAATAAAGTTACGTGAAAAAAAATTATAAGAAATAATAATTAAATGGAAAAAATAAAAAGGTGATTAAAAAGTAAAAAATAATATTAAAAAATAATAAGAAAATAATTATAAAAAATAAACAATAATAAGATAAAAAATAAAAAAAAGTAAACGATAAGCTTAAAGTGTAAAACAGTAAAAAAAAAAATAAAGGGATAAAAAGTGTTAAAAAAAATAAACCATAAAAAAATTAATGATGTGAAACCTCGCGCCACTACTCTAATCAAGTTAAGCAGCAGCTGAAATCTGTGTGGTCATAAAAAAATTAAACATTAACCCTGCCACCTCTGCCATCCGGTTGCCATTCTCCGTTGGCGGTAAGGGGGGCGCATTGCGGAACCTGGCCTTGGGGCAGCAGGGAGAGTAAATCCGGCCCTGCATGTGTGCAGAGCCTGTCTGCCTGTACAGGCCGAGTGGCCGCAACTGATCGCAAACACTTGGCCGTATCAGTGTGAATGAGGCCTTATTCTTATCCTCAATTTATGAATTATTAGAAAAAGTTGTGAACTACCATTACTGTAATATTGAATTTCTGGATATAAAAGTGTTTTCTGGATACAGCTGACCACCTACACCATAGTTATTAATGCTTTTCCAGGCATGCTGCTGCCGCAATGCTGTTGACCTTCACACACAATACTTCCTGAAGGTCTATGGAACACTAGAGTATATACTCAAATATGATTATTTTTTATTTTTTTCTATAAGGCGAGCTGTAAATCATTTTTCACATTCTTAAAGTGAACCTGTTTATTACACCCATGCGGGGAAAAACAACATATTGTCTTAAAGCCCCCCTCCCC